GAACTGACAACTGAGTTATATTTAGACTTCCATCTCATTTTGTTTACATTCTGGGCCTGAAAATTCTGCCAGGGTCTGAATTCCTTGTGGGCATAGTTCTGCTTGTTATCTGTGCTGACTCTTGCTCACGGTGTTCCTGTAAAGTTGTGATTTATTGCTAGAAGTTCACATTCGCTGCAACTTGATAGGATATCTGAGGCTTGTGTTGGAGGAGCCTTCCTCCAAGGAGGATTTGTTCACTTCTACCAGCATCTAGAGTACCTCAAATCTAGATAAGTGCCAGATTTGCAGTGTGTAGTCTTTATAGGCATGCAGATACTATGAACTTAGGATACAAGATGGCATGAGGGCTGGCCCTTAGCCACATATTCTCAGAGGAGACTTTCTTGCCTCCAACCAGAACCAAGACAAGGCCAACAAGTTTCTCTGCCCTGCTTTTTTAGGTAAAATTACTTTCTAATTTTCCCTTTTTCTGAGGGTAAAACTCTTTGTGGTTCTAACAGAATCTCTAATCCAACTCCCACTTGAGCCCAAAGCTTTGCTCCTGGCCTGTCACCTTTTTAAAACGAGAACTCTAGGCCACCAGGGATTAGCAAATGCTCCCAGGGCCCTCGACGGCCTCAGCTTTTGCTTACCTCCCTGAATATACGCTCCTTTTGTCCTGGCCTCAGAGGATTTCCTTTTCCAAGTTCAGGCACATGTTTTAAAAGGTGTTCCTGTTTAACAAATTTCTAAAATTTAGTCTGTCACATTGTCAAAAATGTCTATAAATGCTATTTCTTCCTGGGTATCTCAGATACAAAACTTAGGTAGTGACCTAGTTTTCTACTATCATGCCTAATTTTCCTTTAAAAATTAATGACTATACTTCCCATCTACCTATTTTTGACAAACATACCTCCCCTCCTCTTTCAATCTTTCACACCATCTTATTGACTCTAAGTTCTAAATATCTCTTGTATTTGTTCTCTTCTTCATCCTGGCTATTACTTCCTTTAAGATTCATTTCATTTCTGGATCACTGAAATGTTTCCATCTTTGCCTCCTTCAAATCCATACTTCCCACAGCCCAGCATAACCTATTAAAAATAAACATCTGACCATGTTATTTGCATAATTAACAATCTTCAGTGACTCTTCATTGCCACGAAATAGTCTCCATTACTTATCATGGCATGTAAGTTCCTCTGCAATCAGTCCCTCTCTATGCTGCACTCATACCAAACTGTGTGCAATCTTCTGCTTGATCAAGCATCCTCCAGTCAACCTCACACCTCACCCCAGCTTCCTTGGCCATCTGTCAGCTCCTTATCTTTCAAAACCCAGGTCAGAGAATCCAAGATGGCTGCCCAGGTAAACACCTAGCTGCAGCCGCACACAACAATTTCAATAAAATACAACTAAAATATAAAATGGACATTACCCAGAACTACAGGAAAGCTGACTGACTGGAAATTCTACAAGAAGCAAGGAGAAAACCAGAAGGAAGCGCGGAGGCGCTGTAAAAGCCCAAGGTACGGAGACGGAGACGCGGCGCGCGTGGAGAGGACGGAGCCGGAGAGGAGGGCGGCTGAGTGCCTGGCTGGCGTCCCCTAGCGGGAAGGAGATAAAACTCGGACTGTGTTGGGCCCCAGTTCCAACTGCTCTGAACCCCAGAGACCCAGGCTCATCCAGAGGGAGCTGGGCTGTAAGGCGGAACCCGGGGAAGCAGCGAAAGGAGGTCCTGGCTGCACGCACATTGAGCGCAGAGAAGGGACGGTTGGCTGTGCCACGGAATTGCCCTGGTGGGAAGGAGACTGGGGCTCCAGACTGCTCTGAACGCCACCTCCAATCCCACTACCAACTGAACTGAACCCCAGTTCCGGGCCATTGGGGGAGAGCCTACACTGTTTGGTAGTAAGCGAAAATCGAGGGCACCTTTCTCTCAGAGGCCCTTGCAATGAGTACTGAAGGACCCTGAGACCCAGGAGCCGCAAAGGGCGGGGCTGACAGAAGCCAAAGCTGTAGGCTCCACCCTGAAACCCCGCCCCATCTGTAGCTGCGAAATGCAACAACGAACTAGATCACAAACGAAAGAAATGGAGGACAAAAAGCGACTGAATATAGAGTTCAAATCTACGCTTATAAGGTTTTTCAAGAATTTCCTAGAAAAGATGGATAAGGCCTATGAGGATATGAAAAGAGATCAACTAGAATTAATAAGGAGTCATCAAGAAATGATAAGGGATCAACAAGAAATGATAAGGAATCAACAAGAAATAAAGAATACATTGTCTGAAATAAAATATATTATACAGAGTCCTAAAAACAGAATGGAAGATCGCAAGAATCAAGTCAAAGAGTTGGAACATAAAGAGCCAGAAGACACTCCTCCACAGAAGCTAGAAGGCAAGAGAATCCAGAAAATTGAAGATAATGTAAGAAACCTCTGGGACAACTTCAAGCAAACCAACATCAGAATTATGGGGGTCCCAGAAGATGAGAGAGAGCAAGATATAGAAAACATACTGAAAGAAATAGTGACCGAAAACTTCCCCCACCTGGTGAAAGAATTAGACTTACAAGTCCAGGAAGCGCACAGAACTCCAAACAAAAGGAATCCAAAGAGGACCACACCAAGACAAATCATAATTAAAATTCCAAGAGCAAAAGACAAAGAGAGAATATTAAAAGCAGCAAGAGCAAAGAAGGTAGTTACCTATAAAGGAGCACCTATGCGATTGTCAGCTGATTTCTCAACAGAAATCATGCAGGCCAGCTGGGAATGGCAAGAAATATTCAAGGTGATGAACAGCAAGAACCTACAGCCAAAGATAATCTATCCAGCAAAGGTATCACTCAGAATCGAAGGTCAGATAGAGCTTCATTAATAAAAAAAAAAGCTAAAGGAGTTCATCACCATCAAACCAGAATTATATGAATTGCTGAAGGGGGTTCTTTCAGAAGAGAAAGTAAATAAAGATAAAAATTATGAACAACAAATACGTAACTATCAACAAGTGAATCTAAAAACCAAGGAAATTAAAAAAAAATGTGATGAACAATATTAACTGTTGAATATAATAGAATCAGAGGTATGGAAGGGGAGTGAACTGACGATTCTTGGGGAAAAGGGGAGAGGGAGGCGTGGGAAGAGACTGAACATAAACTGTGCACCTATGGATGAGGACAATGGGGAGTGGGGAAAAGGCAGAGGGTGGGGTGGGAACCTGGTGGAGGGGAGCAATGGAGGAGGGAAAAAAGAGGAACATTTGTAATAATATGAACAATAAAAATTTATTTAAATAAATAAATTTTAAAAAAATACAAAAAAAAAAAAAAAAAAAAACCAGGTCAATTCTCTTCCAGGAAACTTGCAAGCAAATTCTTTTGTGACATCACTGATTGATGTGCTTAACTAATATTGCACTTATCACACTGAGCTGCAATCATTTACCTGCTGCTCCAATTAGACTACAAATTCCAAGTTATTATCGCCATCCACAGTACCTAGGCACAGTGCCAATTACATGAGGTACTTATTACCTATCAATGAATGAATGTTTATGACTCCCTCAATACTTTATAAAATTGCCACTATCGAAGTCCAAGCCCTTCCTTCTGCCTCTATCCTCTTACAAGTCCCTCTAACTCCAGTTTATCAACCTTCCTAATATCACCTAAATCCTTTCTGAAGCACAATTCTGATCATGCCCTGCTTAACCTCAGAAGGCTCCTACTGCTGTTAGCTCCTGCCTTGTTTTCCCTGCTGCTCTAGCCACTCCCAAAAAGTTTTCCCAAAGTAACAGCTCAGCTCTATCCTAATTACAAAACCAGTAAGGAGAGTCAAACAGCACCCAGCCAGCCTCCACTTAATGTCTGTCACCATCTGGTGAAGTTTATTAGCATTAGACAACCTTCCAAATCCTAACTAGGATCTGGTGGTACTGGTGACAGCTACAGGATTCCACATTACCCAGTGACAGCCTCCCCATTTGGACTTGTGGGAAAACTCCACTTCATCACTCTGTTTTATAGTAACGGTGCACTGGGGGCTGCTATGAGGGGATGAACAACACTAAGGGGACCACTGTCTAGAGAATTTTCAAACAATAATAAAATTGACTAAGGGTCAGTCTACTTTTTATCACCACCACAAAACAGCAATTCTAAATGATGTCAGTAATAAAATTCTCCTCCCTGCCGAAACTGGTTTGGCTCAGTGGATAGAGCGTCGGCCTGTGGACTGAAGGGTCCCAAGTTCAATTTCAGTCAAGGGCATGTACCTTTGTTGCGGGCACATCACCAATAGGGGGTATGCAAGAAGCAGCTGATAGACGTCTCTCTCTCTCATCGATGTTTCTGGCTTTCTATCCCTCTCTCTTCCTCTCTGTGAAAACTCAATAATATATATATATATATATATATATATATATATATATATATATATATATATATATATATTTTTTTTTTTTTTTTTTTTTTTTTTTTTAATTATCTTCCCTGCCAGGGAGACCTGGCCAAGCACCACCACTCCCTAGTAAATCACTGCTATACAGGCATCATTTCCTTTTGAAACTTTTAACCCACGCAAAACTGAACTAATCACCTCTTCCTAAATCCTTAATACACACCTGATTACCTTTAACCAGTATGGACATTGATGAACACACGCCCCCTTCTGGCCAGCTTCTCATCAACAGTTGGCCTCAGCTGCCCAGTAAGGTCCTCTATAAGTGAAATAAGCGAAGTTCCAGCCCGTCTATGTGCTAGGAGAAACTAACCATCATGCCTTATATTAATACTATAGACCAGGGTAACTGCATGCAGAATTTGAATTCCAAAGGCTGGCATTCACAAAACACCGTAATCTGGACCTAATTCTTTCCAATACTCTCCTCATACCAAACTACCTACTTATACTCAGTATATTTCTGCCTATTACATGCAAGTCTTTTTGTGTTACAGTGCTTTGTGTCCGATTTACCTAAATGCTAAGCCTCAGAAGGAAATTTAAAGACTCAATCCCGGAGGTGGTGAGAGCCCGTCGGAGCTGGAGCGGAGTGCGGAGTGCGGGGCCTCCAGATCTTACTGCAAAAATGAAACCTGATGAAACACCTATGTTTGACCCACATCTACTCCAAGAAGTGGACTGGAGCCAGAATACAGCTACATTTTCTCCAGCCATTTCCCCAACTCATCCTGGAGAAGGTTTGGTTTTGAGGCCTCTTTGTACTGCTGATTTAAATAGAGGTTTTTTTAAGGTACTAGGTCAGCTGACAGAGACTGGAGTTGTCAATCCTGAACAATTTATGAAATCTTTTGAGCACATGAAGAAATCTGGGGATTATTATGTTACAGTGGTGGAAGATGTGACTTTAGGACAGATTGTTGCTACAGCAACTCTGATAATAGAACATAAATTCACCCATTCCTGTGCTAAGAGAGGAAGAGTAGAAGATGTTGTCGTTAGTGATGAATGCAGAGGAAAGCAGCTTGGCAAATTGTTATTATCAACCCTTACTTTGCTAAGCAAGAAATTGAACTGTTATAAGATTACCCTTGAATGTCTACCAAAAAACGTTGGTTTCTATAAAAAGTTTGGATATACAGTATCTGAAGAAAACTACATGTATCAAAGGTTCCTAAAGTAAAAATCTTTTTAAAAAGACATTTGTCTAAGGAGTTAATGCAACAAGATTGTATACCCTTCCTAAAGTTAAAATAGTTTGCTTCAACCCAGTGACCTCCACAAATAGTGGGTTGAAAACCCATTGTAGTACAATAGATGTGACAGTTAGAAGATTACTTTGGGCTGGTGGAACATGCTGTGAATTTAGGTTACAAATAAATATTATAGAGGATAATTTTTATTTTATTTTTTTTTTTTTTTATATTTTGATTTTTTTGTACAGAGAGGAAGGGAGAGAGACAGAAAGCTAGAAACATCGATGAGAGAGAGTCATCGATCAGCTGCCTCTTGCACACCCCCTACTGGGGATATGCCCGCAACCTTGACCGGAATCGAACCCGGGTCCCCTCAATCCCCAAGCTGACGCTCTATCCATTGAGCCAAACCGGTCTCGGCTAGAGGATAATTTTTTTAAAAAATAAATAAATAAATAAAATAAAGACTCAATCCCGTTTTATTGCTATAGATGCAATGGACACTCAGTTCTATTAAATAAAACTAGGGACAGTTAATACGTAAAAGAGCAAAATACATTTTTATTACATAGAATTTTATTTTTTTAAAATTTTTTTCACAGAATACATTTCACATTAAAGATTCTCACAATGGGAAAAATAACAATTGATTATTTAAAGTTTTATATTTGTGGATATTATTTTGGGACAAAATGAACACATTTGAAGAGTTAAGCCTCAGTTTAGAACACGTAATATTTTGAGGGTACCCCTTCCCTCTGCATGGAACTTCTCTATATTCAGAAGTTCTCAGGCTCTTTTTACCATGATTTAGAAATTGTAAATGTGAAGTATCCTGATAGTAATAGCATTTCCTAACTTTAAAGTTTCCCAAAGACATATAACCATCAGTGACTGGTATCAATTTAACAAAGGGGGAAAGTTTTCAAACATTAAGTGCTGCATAAGTTTCTGCAGTCTTTACTTATGAATTAATAGATTTTCCTCTCTCCATAATTCTTAGGGAAAATATAGAAGTTTGATTAGGTATTGACAGTAATAAAGCTGAATTCCCTTTAAGAGTTTGGTAAATTAAAATGCGAAAGCTCATATATATAATGTTCAGTTACATTGTGAGTCTTGAGAAGCTGAGGACCACCTCATTCACTCGCCAGAATGTAGAACTCTGTCTCACAATTTCTTGAATACAATTCCTCTCAAACCTTTTCCTCACAGATTAAATTCTACAACTAGCCAAGTGATTAGGAGAAGAGACTTATCTCACAGTGGACTCATCTGTTATTTCCTCCTTATCGTGAGATGAATGGCATGATAGAGCAGAGGCAAAGAGGTGTACAATCAATTTTCAAGGTATTAAGTCAAGAAGGTCAGAGCTTCCATAGCATGGCAACAGCTTTGCAGATGCCCACGTCATGATAGTTGAAATAACAAAGCCCAGCAAAGGTGAGAGCCGAGAGTGCCAAGAGGCCTGCCTTGGCAGTTTTCTGCATTGTATCATTGTGAACATAGTCAGTAACAACTTGTCCAAGGCCCCTACAGGAGAGAAAAAAAATCACAACACAAATGAAAAATCACAAATGTCACTAGAAGACCACACAGATAACTTGGCTGCAAAAAGACAATCAGGTTCAAAATGCAACAAGTAAAAAATCAAGTCTTTCCTAATAATATAATAAAGACATCTTCCTATTCTTCAGATTCTATTTTCCAGAATCACTTATATCAGAAATAGTAATTACTTGCTACTCTATCTACAAAATCTTGGTGTATTTTTTTTTAATTAAAGCAATGTTCTGCAGTTTTTCATTAATTCAAAAAGAATGTATTAAACAGATATGATGTGTCAGAACCTGTAATAGGTATTGGGAGCGCAGCAAATAAGACAGCATCCCTGCCCATATAGAATATTCACTCTAGTGAAGGAAAGAGTACACAGGTGCTATGAGGTAATATTGTAGAAAGGATAACCTGAATGAGAAGAATCATCCAAGCAGAAGTGACAATGACCTTGGCATCTTTAAAGAATAGTAAAAAGGTTAGTGTGGCTGGAAATAGGGGAGATCAGAAGGTAAAGATAGATCACATAGAGCCTTAAAGGTCATGAAAAAGTTTGAATTTTATTTGAAATACTAGAGGCCCAGTGCACAAAATTCATGCACGGGAGTCCTTGAGCCCAACCTGCATCCTCTACAATCCAGGAACTCTCAGGGGATGTCCTACTGATGGCTTAGGCCCACTCCCCGTGGTTCTCTGCTCTCTGCGGGGTGTGGAGGTTTTGCTGCAGCCATGGAGATGAAGCCCCCATGGCCTGCTCTCCGCTCTCTGCCTGCCTCCGCCATGCGCCATGCGATGCCCTGCAATGTGCTCTGTCTGCCAGGCCTGGGGGCTTCACTGGCACCGACACACTAAGGAAGCCCCTAAGCCCTATTGGCCTCTAATATTTCAAATAAAATTCAAACTGTTTTTTCATGACCTTCAAGGCCCTATGTGATCTATCTTCACCTTCTGATCTCCTCTATTTCCAGTCACACTAACCTTTTTACTATTCTTCAAAGATGTCCTGCAGGGCCTGGGGGTGTTCCCACCACCACCTTGCTAAGGAAGCCCCCATGCCCTGCTGTCCTGGCTCTGACTGCATTATCAAGGTTCATCCATGTTGTGGCTTGTATCAGGGCTTCTATTCTTTGGCCAAATAACACAGGCATACCTCATTTTATTGCATATTACTATATTCTGCAGATATTGCAGTCTGCGGCAACCCTGCATCGAGCATGTATATTGGTGCCATTTTTCCAACAGCATTTACTCACTTCATCTCTCTGTCACATTTTTAAAAATATATTTTTATTGATTTCAGAGAACAAAGGTGAGATAGAGAGAAAATCATTGATCAGCTGCCTCCTGCACACCCCTACTGGGGATCGAGCCCACAACCCAGGCATGTCCCCTAAATGGGAATCAAACCATGACCTCCTGTCAATGCTCAACCACTGAGCCATGCTGGCCGGGCCTCTCTGTCACATTTTGATAATTCTCAAAATACTTTAAACATTTCCATTATTATATTGTTATATTGATTTTTTTATGTTACTTGGTAAAAACCCTTCACCAGAAAAAAAAAAATGACTTGCTGAAGGCTCAGATGATGATTAGAATTTTCTAGGAAAAAAAAAAAACAACTTTAAATTATGGTATGTACTTTTTACATTTTTTATTTTTTATTATTTTTTAATCATCACTATATTTTAAAATCATCAATTATATAATTGATTTTATAAAATCAATTGATAAAATTTTTATATTTTAATATAATTTTTAATCATCCCTATATATTTTTAATAATTAATTATACCTTTATAATCAAAAGATATACTTTTCCACTAATTTTTTGGGAGAGTGAGAGAGAGAGGGGAAAGACAGAGAGAAATATCAATGTGAGAGAAACACGTGGACTGGTTAGCGCCTGCACATGCCCCCGACTAGGGCCCAGGCCACTGAGGTTCATGCCCTTGATTGGAATCAAACCTGGGACCCCAACACTCTATGCACTGCACCAAACAGCTAGCACTCTACTTTTTTTTTAGACATAATGCTGTTGCACACTTAATAAACTATAGTATATACAGTGTAAATAACTTTTATATGCACTGTGACTCACTTTACTGCGATACTTGTTTTATTGCAGTGGTCTGGACCTGAACCCCACACTATCTCCGAGGTGTGCCTTCAGTCATATATATCACATTTTGTTTAGCTATTCATCAACTGATAGACATTTGGATTATTTCACCTTTTGGCAAAATAGCACTGCTATGTACATTACTGCATGGTTTGGTATGCAATCATGTTTTCAATTTGGTGGGGGGAGGGTGGAATCTTTGAGTCATATAGTATATAGCTTTTTGGTTGGAACTTCCAAACTGTTTTCCAAAGTGGCTGCCACATTTTACATTTCCAGCAGAACTATATGAGGACACCAAGTTTTTGACATTCTTGAAACACTTGTTACTGTCCATCTTCTTTATTACAGCCATCCCACTAGATGTGAAGTAGCATCTCATTGTGGTTCTGATTTCCATTTCTCTACCAACAAATGATATTGAGCATTTTTTTCATGTGCTATTGGCCATCTATCTATCTTCATTGGATAAATGTAATTTTATTTTTTAAAAAGGTCACTCTGGCTATGGACAGTGCAGGCAGGAAATGGACAGTGCAGGCAGGAAAAGGGGGGCGAGAACAGAAACAGAAAACTAGTTAGGAGGCAGTGGAAGTATTCTAGGCAAGACTCTTGGCTTAACCTAGGCTGGTGACCAGGGAGATGGTGTGAAGAGACAATTCAGGCTATGTTTAAAAGACAGAGTTAACAGAAAGAGCTGATGGATTAGATGTAGGATAAGATGAAAAGGAATACCTAGAATGTCTACTAGGATTTTTGACTTGAGCAACTAGATTTAATTAAATTCGCAAGAACAGGAGAGCTTTTAAGGGAAAATCAAGCAGATGTTGGGGGGAGAAAAGAGTGATTTTAGCCAAGTTAAATTTAGGATAACAAATATCCAAGTGGCTGGATCAGTTAGCAACTGGAAATAAAAGTCTGTAGTTCAGAAGAAAAAAAAAAATATATACACACACACACACACACACACACACACACACACACACACACACACCGTGTTTTCCGGCGTATAAGACGACCCCCTAATTTTACAGTTAAAACATAGGTTTAGCCGGGACCGGTTTGGCTCAGTGGATAGAGCGTCGGCTTGCGGACTGAAGGGTCCCGGGTTTGATTCCGGTCAGGGGCATGTACCTTGGTTGCGGGCACGTCCCCAGTGGGGGGTGTGCAGGAGGCGGCTGGTCGGTGTTTCTCTCTCATCGATGTTTCTAACTCTCTGTCCCTCTCAATTCCTCTCTGTATAAAAGCAATAAAATATATTAAAACAAACAAACAAACAAACAAACAAACAAACAAAAACACATAGGTTTAGGCCTATATTCCCTGTATAAGACTAACCCCCACTTCAAAGAAAAGACTTACTTTGCCTTCAAGATCTGCGGTAATTTTTGTGTAATTTTGGTCTTTTGCCCCCGATTTTCGGTTGACTTTTTTTTGTTTCAAAGTTGTCTTATACTCTGGAAAATACGGTATACACACACACACACACACACACACACACATATATGCATGCCTAATACACAAACT